CGCTGTAATTGTAGGACATTAAGTTTCATCCCAAATGCCAAACATTAAGTGATGCTCCTGTACGATGTGACACAGCTTCACTTCCTTCTGGAGGAAATCTAGATCATCTTCAGCAGCACCTGCTGAGCACTGGGTGACCTCAGCCAGTCTCCAGGAAGACATTCAAATATTTGCAATCTGACTGTGGCACTGCAGTGTTGAGATGATGGGTTTCTATGTGGAACATGCAGCTTGGGACTGGAACCAGTAGTGCAACCTGGGAGCAACAGGGGACTGTAGTCTTTAATTTTGGTGTAGATAGTTAGGTAACCCCAGCTCTGTGTAGGGAACTGCCCTGGATATTTCTAGCCAGGCTCAAAGGCTACAACTGCAGTAGCACAATCACATGCTGATGACCCTCCCTGTAGGGTTAAATTCTGTAAAAGACTGATTCACTTGGGGGTTTATTCAAAGATAGCTTGCCATCAGATTTATAAAAAATGCTACAGCAATTTAAAATGTCTGCTGAGATTTATGAAAACACCCAAGCAGATTAAGGTGACAAATGTTTTTAAATGTTGCTCATAACCTATGCCAGTCTTATGTTTGAGGGTTGGCAGGATCACCCAAGGGAACTTCAAATTTTCTGTCTCTTTGTTTCCACTCTTGTTTCTTCCACCGATTATTACTTTCCCTTCTAGGATGTGTGCATCATATTCTCTTTTAAGTATGACAGCCTATGATCTGGACCAAAGATGTATCTTTGGGCCCTGATATTTTAGGGACACATACTCTGATTTGGAAGACCTGTGCTGCATTCACTGTGGGAATATTATGTTGTATGCCAATGACAATAAATGCTGGCTGGCATTTTATAACCTCAAAGCTCTCATGAGCCATTGCAGGGAGCTTGGCTGCTCATCCATTTACCATGCAGTTTGTTAAGTGGGCAGCCTGACAGTCACAGTAACACAGCTTCACTTTCTCCTGACAGCTTTAGGACATCGTTTCTTAAATCAAGACAAAGCCTTTGAAGTTAGTGAGTGGAGAAGGCAACGCTGGCTTTGCTACCTCAATCAGAAATGCAAGTTGAAAGTAAGCATGCTAATTGCCAGGACTGATGCCATATAATTAGCATATACAGTCTGTACCCAAATTAAGAACTCCTCCCTTGGAAGCTTATTATGCCCTAATATGCAGCCTGCACATGTAGACACAAAGCTGTGCTCTGCCCCACCTTTGCACTTCTCAGCAGCTCTGAGGAGCCCCGTGAAGATCAATTCTAATCTAGATTAACAAGGTGTCTGCAAGATCTGTCCCACGTGTCAGACACTGGGCAGTGCAGGAAAGGACTCCAGGCTGATGCAACTGTCTGTCAAGAAACCTGTTAAGAGGAGAGATGCCATTCCACGCACCCACATCCACCCCGAACTGCCAGTGCCTCTCTTCGTGCTCTGTTCGCCCGCAGCCTCCAACGCTTGCTTCAAAGCTTCAGGTATGTGGCCACATCTTACATTTTAATAATGGTTGTCATTCTTTTGTGCTGACACCAGGCTAACACACAGCCCTCCCCAAGGACAAGGGCTTAACCCAGCCTGCTGCATTTTGCCTTTGCGGCAGGGGAGTGCAGGGGAAGGCTCAGCCTGCCTGGCTGTGCGGAACGATCCCCGAGCCTCCTGCATCCTGCCTCTTGTCTGGAACTGCAGGAGATCAGCCTCGAGGGAAGGCTAATACAAACGGTCAGCAGCACAGCCCGGATTTAATCAGACATTATTTCAAGGGTATAATTGCAACAAGGCAGCTGAACATCCAGAGTGTGTCTTGGGAACGTGCAATTGGCAAAAGACAGATCAGTACTACCCACTGATGCCTCCCACTTCCACCTCCTCAGTTTTGTGTGCCTGGGGTCACCACAACCTTGAAACATCTCTTATTTTTATTTATATTCTTCTTCTGTTAGCACTTTTCTTTGTACTTTTCAACAGCATTCATTAGAAATTACTTGGGGGTTGCATAATAAAAATCTGCGCTTCACACAAGTAAACAGACTTTCAAATCAAAGTGGTTGAACAAACATTGTAAAAGGTGTCCTATTAATTACACATCTGTGACTGTGTGACAAGGTAAACCAAAGACAGACTAGCCAGAAACAGACCCTCAAAGACACAGTCACAAGAGAGCAGTCACAAGAGGAGGCATCTTGTGAGAGGCATCCAGCTCTTGTGCCTGGGTACAAGACAGACCAGCAGAACGTACAGCAACCCATAATCCCACCTGACATAAATAAATGCAATACCCTCAAGACAAAAGACATCGCTCCTCTGTCTGAATTCAGACCTGCTAATCCAAACATGCTCTGAGTGTCACTGTTCCATGAGCAGCAGGTGCTCACCAGCTTTTACAGACAGAAGCTACTTCTCCAAGGTTTCCAGGTATTGGGTAGTTTGGTTATTTCCTAATTAAGCCCAACACACTGCTGCTGAGATGCTGCAAAATGTTAGAGGAGCTACTGGAAAATGATCTCTCATAATTACTGGACAATACCAAGGAAGAAGAGTCCTTGAAGGGACATGCAAGCACAAACATGGCAGGCTGGAGAAGAGAGGAATGAATCCCTCAAGGCTACTTAGACTCCAGCCAGCCCTGCCTAGCACAGAAGCCTCCCTCTTCACTGAAACAATCCCCCCATACAAGTTCACACAGAGCAAGAGGACATAAATTACATCTCAGCCCCCAAACTCTCTAGTCAGCTGCAATCAGAGGCATTTGGCTTCTTTAGATAAATACAGAATTCCTGCACAGAATTCCATAGAAACACCAAATGCAGCATATTTTATTTACCATGCTGTGTTCATTTCTTCTTATAACCCCCTAAATTGTTCCTTCCCCCACAGTACCATTTTTGTACCTTGATACTAAGAAACGAGCCTTAGATTAATACCTTTTTTAACATCTTTATATGTCCTGCAAACACCTGCCACACTCTGTAGTCTCAGATAATACACTGTGGATAATCTTCCTATCTCTCTTCACACTCCTGTAATTCCACTGACTTTGAACAGCTCTGCTCCTGTTTCACACAGGTAGAGAGAGAGGTGAAGGAAGCCCAGTGGAATAGGGCCAGTCGAGAGTGTGTCATTTACTGAAGGATAGGCCAATGAATCCTCAGTATTATCTGTTACAGCAGCTCATTACTATTCCCAAACAGAGAAGCAGCATTCAATCCAAACACTCTAGGAGAACTAGAAGTAGGAATAAAGAGAATTTATGTGAAGGGGACATAAATGAATGCAGAAGAGCCTCCAAACCTGTGCTTTGCAAACCTGCATCCTTCACAATCCTCCTAAAAGCTGCTGTTTTTCTACCTCTCCACTACGGTCTAATGGCAGAGCAATATTGGAAGATCTCTCTGCCAGGATTCATTATTTAAACCACATGCTAAAGTCCATTTCCTAACGCATTATAAAGCCACTATATAAACAATGAAAGGCCAACTATTATTAATCAAATTGGCTTTAAAATCCAGTCCTTTTCATCGTCCTGTGAACAGGGAGGGTGGATGGAGATGAGGCAGGGTCAGCAGCCTGGTATTTAAAGGCCTTGAGTTCAATCTCCCTCTTCAGCCACAGATTTTTCTGGGCAAATCACTTCACCCCCCCCACTCCAACCTTTACTTCCTCAGCTGTAAAATGCTGCAAGACAACTAAGTGAGATCCTTAGACACCAAGGCAATTGTCGAAGCAGACACAGGACTATTTATGTTTTGAAATCCTACATTTAGTCTTAAAATTTTCATCTCCTTTTTGCAGTATTTTCTTTGCTGCCTAACTCAGCAAATGACTGTGACTCAGAATCAGGGTGCTCAGGTATCTCTGTGTGTCACTATGGTTTTTGGCTGTACCAAACAGCTATGGAATTGATATAAAACACAATTACCACATGTAAGTATTAAAAAGGCAGTGCTTTAACACATGATAATGAGGACATTCTGCCCTGTAGAGGTTTGCTGCTCTCTGCTTCCTGGGATGACCAAAGACACAACAGCCTGGATGGGCATAAGACAGTGAAGGGCTGGGGTCAGATTTAACATTAAACTGCACTTACAAGTTTTTATGACTCTATTTACTATAAATGAGAACACATAAAGACTCTTGCTTTGTTAGCACAGAAGTCACCTAAGAACTGAGGCACCTCTCATCCCAAATGGCAAATCAGGATAATTCCACCAGTGTCAGTATTCTCTGTAATGGTCTGATGCCTTGAATAACAGAGGACAGGGGAGTGCAGGGACACATCCCTGTTCACAGCTGCTCATACACTCAGGGCTGTGCCTCAACAGCAGTCACACATCCCAAATGTCAGGTGTGCCACCAGGACACTGCCCTTGAGGTCAGCAGCTCACTGCACCGACAGCATGGCTGCAGCACCAAGGAAGGGCAACGCTTTTCTCTTACCTGACTTGAACTCAAAGCCACCACGTTTTCTGCTTCCGAGGTTCCAGTTCAGGAATGTCCTTTCTGTTTGGAAAGTCATCTGTGCTGCATAAGCATGTGCTCTTCTGGAGCCCTCAAGTAATGAAAGAGGGAGAGAGCACACTGGTTAAAAAATAAAAAAAAAAAGGAAATGTGCAAATGTAAGTACCAGGCTCAGCTTGTCCCCACCTTTTCACAGCTAGAGTCGAAAGTCAGTCTGTGGTTCAGCCTGGGGCTATTGCAGAGCTTTTGTTGTCTTCTCAAGGGGAAAGCAAACGGAAACAGAGCCTTTCCTGTACCTTCTGGCTCCCATCCTGCCAGATGCTGAGCACTCTCAACCCCTCCTGAAGCCAAGACAGCTCTCAGCTGGCTTTCAGTAATAGCTGAAAGTAAATGACCCTCCTCCAGAGCAACGAATTCCACCCTGAACTATACTCCTTTATCAGTGTGTTAAAACATACTCATGTAGTTGCACTCGATGCTAGGCTAAAATAAACTCAGTCATGCACAGTCCAGCCACGAGCAGTGGCAACACCAAACACAAGGCTGTACAATGTTAAGAGCAAGATGATTTATTATATAATGAAGAAGAAAAAAAGAATTCATTTTCATCAAGTATTCCCTCATAAGGGTCAGTACAATGTAAAGAAAATACGGAAAAATGTACAAAACAACAAAACAACCTGACAAGAAGGCTCTAGATGAAACATGTTCAAAGCACTTGCAAATGGTGTTGCTGTACAGATGGAGAAGGAAATTAAATCAATTAATTTTTCTCCTGAAAAACACAGACTGATTTTATTTTTAAAAATCCACAGTCCTGCCTTTACCTGCAGATATTTCAGGTAAAAAGACACAACTTTATTTGTGATACATTTTTAAAAGGAGAGATCCCAGAACTACTGTTTGATTACATTTATTTCAAAGTGGATTTTATTTTCCCTTCCAACTTTATGCAGGTGGCAAAGAAGCCAGCCCAGCTCAAGATAAGAGAAGCTTAGCCACTAACTTCAAAGAAACCAGGTCCATATTTCCCCATTTTCTGTTATCCTTTGGCAACTGTGGCATTTGTTTTTCCATAACCAGCAGCAGATGTCCATCTCATCCAGAGCATCCTTGTATACGTGGTTGTAAAAACTTTTTTAAAAAGCACGAAACAAAAAAACACATAAAAGAGAAAAGATCAGCAGTATGAAATTCCTGAAGGTTTTCAAGGCTTGCTCCCATTCAACTAAAGTCAACATACTTTGAAACTATTTTAGAGGGAGCAAGACCAGATCCTTAAAGAACCAGCTACTCGGTCCTCAAAAAGCAAAACCTTGAGAGTGCTGTAATCCAAACATAGGAGCAAAAGACAAATTTCAGCAATGTACCTTGCCTGGCCCTAGCCAACATAATATCTTTGGCTCAGGTATTTCATTTACTCCTGACCCGGGCAAGATTCCCAGTGGTTACAGTGAGAGCATCACTCAAGTAATGTAGCAAAAGGACATCATGCATTAATAAGCTAAAATATGAATCCATGCTTATGGCAATAGCTTTCCCTTCTAATGCCCTATAATGGGCATCCAGGAAAGGAAAAAAGACAAGCAGCTTTACAGAAAAAAATCTGCATTTTGTTACATTGATGACCATCCTAAGCAACTCCACAGAAGTTTTCATTGTTCCTTTCAATGTACATGAAGAGAGCAAAAGTCAAAAATAGACCAGTGTTAGGCAAGATTTTAACACATTTACTCATTAGTGCAGAATGCAAAACAACAGCTACTGCCTAATACAAACAAAACAGTATCACTTTCATACTCCTCACAAACTCATGGATTCCACATGGTTTACTCCCTTGCCTTTAAAAGAAATGCTTAAATGAAGCATGAACTTAATGTCTCTAAAAATATCATTCCAAGTTAGTAAAGGAACCATTGGAGGAAAAAGAAATTAGAAATGGACATTTAATAACAAGTTGCAAGGAAATCCCCATTTCGTTTAGCATAAAAAGAAACAGAGTTCCACTGGTTGGATTTGGTTTGGGATTTCTGGGGGGTTTGAGGTGGGTTTTCCTGGATGGTTTTGGTGGGTTTTTTTGCATCAAGGGAAAGAAAACAATACTTATGCGGGATAAAAACATTTTCACAAATATAATAAATAATTGTTCCGATCCTAAAGCAAAGTGCGATGTAGAATTTTCCTACCTAAACAAAAACAGCCTACCAGCATAATGCCTTAAATATTAACAAATCAATTAGTGGTCAGTACAGTAAAATAAATATGAACACATTGATTTACATTTTGTTTCTAGCAGCAAAGGTCACTAACCTACTGGCCAATGTGACAGCTTCACAGAAGTCCGGTTTCTTGGGTTTGGTACTTCGGTTTAACATGAGAAAAAGATTAACTGGGTCAGGACAATGGTACTTCAGTAGAGTTCTCCCCCCAGCCTATCTATGTCAAAGAGGCTTTGCCCAGGACATGTTTTCAATCTGTGTTTTGAACACTGATTTGGAGAACACCTTTCACAAAAAGAAACAAAATCAGGATCCTCTCAGTTTCTCCCGGCTGACAAGTCTGGATTGTCCTGAACCCTAATGACAATAGTGAGGTGGGGTGTATTCTCTTTGCAGTCAACAACTTCCTATGCTGAAGGGAGAGGGGGAAGATCACAAGCTGTTTAGCAATGCTGAAGAGGGAGAGGAAAGCCTCAGTCACTTGCAGGAAGAACCACAACAGAGCACTGGGGCAAACTGCACCCCAGCTGCCTCTCCCAGCAAGACATCTTTCCTCCTACATAGCAAATCTGTCACTTGAGTCCCACTGTCTGCCTTATACCTGCTATGCAACCCACCACTTTGAAATTCCCAGGATGAGCACATTGTTGTGATCCCTTTAACAAAACAAAGCAGCCTGAGGCCTCTCCTTTCAGGGCAGACTGAAGCCATACCTCAAAACCAGGCTAAGCCCCACGCAGAGAGGAGCCTGCAAGAACAGCCCCTGGCACCTCCCTCATACACCCTTCCAAAAGCACCAGCACACACTGATGTGCTGTGACACCTTTCCACCAGCTGGAGCAAACCAAGTTCTGACACCTCCAGTCGTCATTGGAAATGCCAAACGAGGAGCAGATGGCTGGGCTGGAAGCAGGAGCAGCAACCAGAGCTAAGTGGTGAACAGCTGACTTTCGGGACACATGAAAGCAAGTGAAAATGTCTCCTTGTCCAGAGCAATAAGCCACACAGCACCGGTGCCTCCAGCTCCTATTTCACAGAATGGTGCTTTTCTGCTGCTAACTGCAGCCTGTGGAAAATGCCACGCTTTAATTTACAGCCAGAGGGACGTTTAACCATAATGCAGGGATCACTCTGCTGGAGCACATTGTGGTAAGGCTCATCCAACTGCCTCTATCCCAGTGGTGTCACACTGGCAAACCAAGGGACAGAACACAAAGACAAAACCAGAGCCCTTTTGTGACTGCAAACGAGGAGGGGGGAAAGGCTGGTGAGAGATTTTGGCAAGAGGAATGTTCTTCAAGGCTACACAGAGGGTGAGGCAGGGGAAGGAAAGCACAGAAGAAACAGACTTACAGGCTGTCAAAACTGCTCACGAATGCTCTACAACCTGGGCACCTGTCCTCCTAACGTGCTCCAGTGCACAAACCCCATTTAACTGAGCTTTGCACAAAGGAGGGGAGGGAATCCCACTCATGAGGACATCCATTGCTCTGCCTGGATCTGCAGAGCAAGGACTGGCATGGAATGATCTAGGGGGTTGGTTTTGGCTACTGTGCAAGAGCTCACCTTGCCTGGGTTTAGGAAGGATGCATTAAGGTTATATGGCTGCCTGATGCTCAGGCAGCTAAAGAAAACAGTACTCAACTTCTGAGTAGCCGCCAAGTGCAACAAACCATTTGGAGGTGAACTAGAAAGGTGAATGTGGATTTTTTTGTTAGTTTACTCATTTCTCATTTTTTAAGGCAAGCAGAAAGTCCTTCTGGAATGCAGGGGGCAGGATCAGAATGGCAAAAAAAAAGAAAAAGAAAAAAGAAAAAAAGGGAGGTGGGAGACTCACTTTAAACATTATGCATAAGGTACAATTTATCCCTGGTAAAATGCCACTGAAACCAGTGGAGCTTGCATCTGATTCGGTGCACTGCCTGAAGAGGGGTGAGACACAAGCCATGATGCTTGCTGGACCCTCCCTCTGCACCTGCCACTGAAGTCAGTGCAGCTGCACCAGGGCACAGCTGCAGCAGCACAGTGGGGAATCAGGTCCAGCAAAGGCCACCTACACACTGCCCTTGCCACTGGGGCCAACGTTTTTAAAAAATGAACTGGATTCTATTCACAGCTCCTCACATCTATCTAAACAAGCAGAAGAATAAATGTCAGCCCTACTTCTGCTCTTTATCCCTTTTCTACTTTTGCTAAGGAATATCAAAACAAACACCCACCCTTTGAGTTTGCCTACACTTAAAAAGTTGCTTAACAAGTTCCATAAATACTTCTGTGTGACCAAAAAGCTGTTACTCAAACAGTCATCACCCCTGACATCTAAATCCTACCTAACTTTGGATTTTTGATGGTCCCTAAAACAGTCAAGGTCACATCAAGGAATGGAATTAAAACCCATCCTGAGATGGAAAAAGAAAGAGGGGAAAAAAAATTGTCCAATATTGGTAGCTCTAGTTCAAATGAGCATTTGAGCTTTGCTCTATAACACCCATTGGGCTTTATCCAGGGAATGGCATGGAAGGGGGACACACCAGTATCTGCTACCCATGGTCCAGACAGCCCTGCTCTCCCAGAGCAAGAGCTGCAGGCCAGAAACTAACACTTGCTCTCTTCTACATCACTATGCAAAGAAATTACAGCTGACAGTTCCTTCCAATCTATTCTCAACCCTACCCAGCCTAAGGCAGAATCAGAGCAAAGCACATCTCACCTGAGCAGGTTTGCTTTCCAATTCACTTCATTAGCCACCGAGATCCCCTGAGACTCTCTTCAGGGAGATGAGCTACACCCATGGTGCATTTAGGTGTCCAGGCAACAACACTGAGAATCTTTTTTTCACTGTTAACTGGTAGAAGAGAGTATTTCTGAATAGAGCTAATCAGCTGAAATCAATGTCAGATGTTCAGAATGAAATCTGCATTGCAGAGGAAGCGGTAAGAGGCAAGTCCCTCCAAGGGGGAGAGGTACGCACAGCCTTTCTACAAGGATGTGGAAAGAACCTACTCTGGGCTGTAATGGGGGCCAGAAGCAGCAATGTGCGGACAAGTACACCACCTAATTCACACATTCACAGGCCCTACTCCTGCCCCTCTTTGACAAGCTGCCCAGAGATTCATTCTGCTGTAGGGAGGCATCCTGGAGCACTGCTCTGCAGTGTGCAAAGAGGGGAGCGGGCTTTGCACATGGCCCACCCGTGTGGTTGAACCACAGAAGTTCCCAGCACTTCTTGGGCTTTGCATATTCATGCAGAAGGCTGGGGAGGAGACCAAGCCCTCCCCGCCACTCAACACAACGAAGAGCCTTTAGGCAATTTAGCAAACAAACATCAAAAAACACTTCATGTCCTGCGCGGCGTCATCCTGCCAGCTATGACAGAAAAAAAATCTAACCATACCATTGAGTTTGCAGGTGTTATACATGTATAGCTCGAGAGCATACTCCTATCAAATGGAGCACAAAGCAGGGCATGTGGCAAACAGCAGGCAAAGAGACAAGCTGCTCTAGTTGCGAACTACGACCGAGGGTGGCGCGTCATTGTACATAGCCCAGGTTCTCCATCTCGTTCCTGTACCGCTGCTCGGACACCTTGCTCTTATGCTGTTTGCTCTCCAAGTGCTGCCTGAACTCCATCTCCTCGCTGGCGCCGGCGTTGCACATGGAGCAGTAGAACTGGCCGCTGGGCGTGACGCACATGGCCAGGTCCCGAGGGATCCTCTGGCGCGAGCGGGGGTTGAAGTAGGGACCTGAGGAGTCAAGAGGAAAGCCTCTTTTATCTGTTGGAAATAATGGCTTGAGGCAGTTCAGCGCAAATTTCTAAGCCCAATGAATGATTAAGAAGCAGACAAAGATTTGCTTCTCTAACTAAGCAGAGTCTGAACCTTATTTTCCCACAACTTCTCTGCTGATATCTAGATTTACTGGGGTGCAGCACACAGGGCAGCAGCACTTGATGGAATTTTGTAAAGTAGTAGAGTGGGCTTAGTGTCCCAATCTTACTGGAAATCAACAGAGCTTTGAAAATTAGGAGTCTAATGATTTAAGTAATGAATCAGTTCTTCTTATTTCCTTAACCATCCAATTCCAGAATTAGAACAGTGTTTTGATTAGAATAAGCTGCCTCAGTTTAAAAGTCACAAAATGATATCGAGTAGAACTCTAAAAGTTTTATCTTTTCCACATGACACTGGTTAGAATGACATGATTAAACCAAGCTTCACTGGGAATAAGGGTTTCAGTTAATGTGTGCACATAAAACTACTTAAAACAAAAAAGAGAAATAGATGCTGTGCTGGAGACTATAAGACACTCTTTAAATCATAGTAAAGAGGCAAAGTTAGTGTCTAACACCTGAGGAAGGACTCTATGCTAGAACAGATGGTCTTAGAGGGGAGGCTAACATGCTCTCTCATTCTGGTCATGGGAGTGCAAGTACAGGTTGAAGTGCCACAGTAGGAGTCAAAGCACCTGGCCACCTGCCAAGAAAATAAAGCAGGAAAATTGTCACCACTTAGAGCAGCCTTAGAGACAGGCAGATGGTAAATTAAGTTACAAACTGAGAAACAGAACTAACAAGCAGGCTGACAAAACAAAGCAACTTTAGCAGCTGGGAAAAAAAAAAAACATGCATTCACGAAGGATCAGCAGAGCTTGGACCAGCTCCTTTCACAACCTGTCTCCGCTAAAACAGACCTCAGAAACAGAAGACAAACAAGTCTGTTTATTATTTGTTACTATTCCAACTATACAACAGATGCAAGCTCCAAGTTACCTGTGTTGTTCTGCACTGTGTACATGTTTCTTCTGTTCTGCATCATCTTATATTCATTCCCTTCTTTCCTTGCCCTCCGCTTGCCCAGCTCTGACGCATCCCTGAAGATTAAACAAATATGAGCAGCTGCAATTCAGAGCTTTCTGAGTGCCAGAGACACTGCTACATGCTTTCAGCCTGAGCACGAAGTTGAACAATACCTACGAGAACGAGTTATTCTGTGCTTCTGCAAGGCGCAGCCTTTTGGCGTGATTTTTCCCCTGGTAGTGAGCCTGTGCCACGGCCGGAGAGCTAAACGAGGCGTCACAGAGCTTGCAGTAATCATTCTCTGTAGCCAAGATCACTCGGCCACCTGGCTTACTGGATCCCATCTAGCAGCAAAGGGAGAGACAGCACGTGAAACACAGGAAGGTTAAACTGCTGGAATATTTCAAGCACAGGGAGTGAGACCGGTATCGACAGCAAGAGAGTTAAAGGAATTAAAGGATGTGGATTAGGACACTCTCAGGTTCTCTCTAAAGTGTTCTTACGAGAACTTCATTTTTCCTGTCTCAGCCTCCAGGACAATCCGCCAGTTCCTATAGATCTGGGCAAATCCTCAGCCTCAGATGGAGAGGAAAGCAATCTGATCAAACACCCTGTACCTCTGCAGTAGCCATAGAAACTTGTTTACATCACAGCAGTGATTTAACTCCTGTACTCCTCACTGCTGGGAGCTGATGAATTGTGACTTTCACACTGGGGGAGACCCAGTGAAAGGTAAAAGTGCTCTCTATTTACACTGGGCCTAATCTCTCCACAGTACCCTGTCTTTACACAGCTCCCTGACCACAGCAAGAGGACAAAAAAAACAATAGCAAAGCTGCCAAACCTCTGATCCTTACCCTTCAAGTAGGAGGACACCTGGATCCAGACTTCAAAGGATAGACCCAGCCTCACATGTGAGTAGCTCCTGCCATATGAAGGACACCTTGCCTGTCGAGTCAGACCAACACACTGATTGGGGCAGCAACCTCGTCTCCTCAGCAAGTAACATCCAGGGGAGAGTGTTTTGTAAACAGTGCAGCAGCAGTGATTCATGCAGCCATGTCACTGCGGCACTTGCCAAGTCGACTTTCCTTCTCATCTCCTTTGATGCTGCTCAAGCTTATAGACACACACTGTCTATTTTGACTTCTGCCTTACAACATGAATCCTCACATGGCCAGAGAGTGGTATTTTTATTGCCATGAACCATCTTCACCATCAGATACCCCGGGAGGTACAGCAGCCATGTCCCAGTACCCCAGACTGGACCCCACTGATCCCAGTGCAGATCTGTGAGCTGCAAAGCCAATTTTCACGGGGCCGAGTCTCCCTCTGGCGGCTCCGGCAGTGTCTGGAACAATCTGCCACTTTGTAAATGCTCTTTGCTTCCCTACAGACAGAGGTTTATGCTTTGAGAAGTGACAGGCTCAGCTACAAACCCCGCGGCCCAGCTGTGCAAAAGCCAGGTTAGCTGCCACATCCCATGACAATCCCGAGCGATGAATTCTAGAAGAAAGCAAAAAATCATCTCTTTTGCCTCTAATGTGCCCAAAACAGAATTAATCTGGATCACTGAGGGAACAATCCATTCACTCTACACATAGGAATGAGCACTTCAAAAGGAACAACAAAAGAGGAATTAGCTAACAGCCCTGGGCAATGGGTGTAGGAGCACCAAAGCACTTTTTTCCATGTAGGCTTCCCCCACACAACAGAGGGATGACTGCGCAGAGCGGATGCCACACCCTCACATCCAAATCCAGTTCCAACAATGCTGTTTTATACCTGCCTTTAAACAACCATAATCAGCAGCACATCAGACTTACCTAGGAATCCAAGTATTTGCCAGGCAGAAATAGAACATTTGAAGTCCAATATTGTGCTGCAAGAGCAGATCGATATCTGCATCTTCAAAGGAAAGCAAACAGCTCACAACAGGCCATTTCCACCATCCTGTGCCATCACAGGGAAAATTCCCTCCCAGCTCCTGCAGTAATCCTCAAAGTCTGAGAGCTAGTTATCCTTACTGGGGGTTAGGTGACAAGAGAGCAGCATGATCTCAGTCCCCTTCCCATGCCTTACCTGGGTGGGAAGGGAGACAACCTGAGGCGGGGCAGGCTCAACCGCATTACTCATCCTGGCAGGTGCCGGGCAGCTGTTGGCAGCATAGTAATTTCGGAGTTTCTTACTGTGGTTTTTACCCTGGAAAGAGAACCCAGATTAACCATTGTCCTAACAATAGCATCTCACACTGAATAAAAAATGATACAGAAACCAAAATGAGAAAGTGGTCGTGAAGAGGGCAGCTCAGGTCACTCAGAAATTAACAGCTCTGAACTCGAGAGATGCTGGCATCCCTCCCTTTCTCCAAAGTGCTCATCACCTAGCACTGGGCCTCATCCTCAACTGATTTTCTCAGTAAGATTACAGTTACTTTCTCAGTCTGTTTCCATTTCACTTAAAACCACTATTCTGTATTTTAAACATGAAACATTAACTGCTTTACAAGTTTTTGGATAAGCCTGAACACACACACACACACACACACACACACAAAATTCTTGACCAGATTGCAAACGTGAGTTAAAACAAGAGATTGAATGTAAAAAAAAAAAAAAAAAAAACACCTGTTTAATATTTTATTTTCTCTTGGAAAACATGTATTATAGTTATTTTGGTGTTATGGAAACCTGATACAGTTATATGAGAGTATGTATATGCACTGTGGATGCACAGTAAGGTATAAATGTGAATTTGTAGGACAAATGCACATCTGTACCCTCATGGCAGAAATACAACAGAAATTAGACATTAAGAGTGTAACACTAATTCAACCTACCACCACACTAGTAGGATACCGATTTTTCAGGGCCAACTGCAAATCTGAGATCTGTGTGTGGTGTCCTGAGGATATGGAGAACCACCCTTTTGATTCACTGGTGGATAAGTCACCATTTCCACACCTCACACAAATACAGCACTAGGCAGAGGGGGTGCTAATAAAATAGGGTACTGCAAGACTGACATATTTGACCTCTCAGCAAGAAACATGTGCAGAGTCCCTACCCTATTTCAAGCAAGTCAACCAGATCAGCTCAAATAAAATTAATTTGGTCTGAGCTGACCCAGCTGATGAGAGCATTTGATAAGAATGATGATGAGAACACCAGATCAGTGGTGTTTGTAGCCTCAGAAAGGAGGCAGTGGTAAACACATGGCAGCAGCCCTTTTCCTAATGACACACCTGAATCCAGCAGGAAAAAACATCTCTCCAGGCCTCACAAAATCATGTCTTGAATCAAGTTCAGTGTTACTGAACTGATGTAGAGGGTGAAATATAGGTCTCATAAAACAAAGGAAAATTCATAAGTGTCTGGTTTTTCACCAAAGCCATCTTGGTACCACTTCTCTGTCCCTGAGGGCAAAGTTATTGCAAAAAAGCTCCAGTGATGACACCTTAAATGAATGCACTGCAGCATGTCTGGACAATCAGCAAATCCAAGCAGGGTGAGGATACGTCTATTGAGCAGTTTCAGTCCATTAGATGATGCAGGGGTAGCTCCAGATAAGCCAACTCAAATGTTGCTGCTGGTGTGCAGCCACCCCAACGCAGAACTCGAAACCCCCTCGAGAAGCCGAGTTAGTCCTTGTGCATTAGCCCACACTTCCCTCTGTGCTGCCACAGCAACGCTGCTGGCAGTGCTCACACTGGCACAGGATTGTCTACACAGGCTGCAGATGCAGCAGAGCCCCAAAATCTGTGCCTCCTGCTGCTCTCCTTACCTGGTAATGAGCCTGGGCTTGCTGGGCCGAATTCAGGGTGACATTGCACAGCTTACAGCACAGGGGCTTACATAGTTCCTCCAGCATAGGGTCCTGCTCCACCACCTTTGCAAGTTCTTCTTCTTGTGTGTGATGGAAGGAAGGCCCCAGTCCGAGAGACTTTGGTGGGGACAGTGGTGAGCTGGCTCTTGGCCTTGTAGCCACTGACATAGGAAGAGATGAAGGCTTCTCAGGATGAGAAAGAAGTGCTGATTGCTGTAGAAGAATCATTGGCCAGGAAGACTGTGGGCATACTACTTCTGAAGGAGGAGGAGGGAGTTGTCTTCAGACCTAGACCAGAGACACAAATGCTGAAACAAGCAGCGCTAACAGGAACACTGACAATCCAAGGGTAATTTCTGTAACTCCACTTGCCTCTACCTTAAGCCTTTTCACAATGCCAAGCAGGATAAGGCCATTTTATAACACTTTAACCCACAGGAAGAGCAGCATCCCAGACAACCGGGGACGGACCAAAAGATATTGTGTAAGAAGTGGATCCCATGGCACCCTCCTGGACAGGTGGAGATTCCTGGCCACCCACTGTAGCTGACCGACAGCACACACACCCTCTGCTCCATGACCACAAGAAGTGGTGACATACAACATGCACGGCACACAGAGCTGTGCTAATGGCAGGGATACCACCACTAGACACATCCTCTTTTGGGAGCCTAACGACAAACTCACACTACAAGACCTAAACAAACATCACAGTGTATTACTGCAATGATGACTTACAAAGAATCAAAACAGTTTGAGGCAGGTTTATTGTATATAGGTAGATACAAAATAAATAAACACATCTTTCCCTCAAATACTCACAAAGACCTTCCGGAGGAGAGATAATCTACATCTAACTTTTCTGCAGTAACAAAAGAGCAGGAATTACCTGGAGTACATCTTGTACACAGTCAGCTCCCAAGGCCTCTCTTGAATGACCCTCAGCTATTTCTCATGTTTCCTTCACTAACTACAACCAGTACAGCGTTTAAAGCTAAATCTTCTGCTACAAAATGGAGAACTTATATTAGCCTTTATTCAATTATTTCTCAGTTAATTCAAGTTATTAGAACTAGCCCTACATTTCCAACAAGAGGTTCTAAGAGATTTATTTAATTAATGTTTATAATTAAATAAAGCCCAGATGAACATCCCTATAATAATGCAGAACAGTCACATTATGAATCAAGGCACAGTTACTTTTGTTAATGTCTTATTAGCTTCTTATCATAACAAATCCTGTTCACTGCCACACTGGGATCAAGAGCAGCATTATCTTGGCCTTTGCAGATCACTTCCAGCTAGGGCTGCATTGGCAGCAACCATGTTTATCCTATGGGCTTTGTTCACTTGTTTAAGCAAATAATGAGACTCATCTGCATTTTATACCAACACTTCTGGAAAATTAGTCACTTTTGAAAACAGAGTTAGAAATCAAAGGCCTTTAGGAACCTGGAGAAGCAAATAGCGTTTATCTGGGGTAACTTCCGGGATTTTCAATCTGCTAAAATTAGCTGGACACAAATACCATCTACACTAAAGCTACAAAAAATCCCAGGTGATACCTGCAATTTTAGGTACTGTATTATCTTTGGAAGTCTTCCCAGAGAGACCTATGTTCTATTCGGAAAAATAAAAGATTGTCATAAAAAAAGATCAGTGGGACTAATGCACTCAAGTGACAAAAACATCTCTGAAACGTTTACCTCAAACCCACACTTACACTGACACAAGACAAGGGGCAGTTCAGTTATTATTAGTAACTACAGGTAAGGAAAAAATTAAAAATAAAAAATAAATAATTTAAAGAAAAGAGCTGCATGCACTGCCTTGGGGACAAGGTTGTAAGACAGTAATAGAACCAGCAGGAGTTTTCATGTTTAGAATAGTCCTCTACCACCAAGGCTCTGTGAGATTCCAGGTTAACTATAACTATCACATGATGTGACCATTAAAAAAAAAATCAAAACTGGTATCATGAAAAATAGCTGGAATCCACCACGAAGAAGGAAGAAGACACACAGGAATTGCGTGCTGCAAATAATCCATCAGCAGTGTAAATTCTGGAGTGTTACCTAACTTCTCTCCCACTTTCAGCATATATGTTCCTGGTTAAACAGAACAGAAGAAACTTTTTCATCTTTAGTTCCCTCAACTAGTACTCTGTAGACGGTCTCATTAATTTCAGTGGGACTACAGATGGACCAAGCTCATATTCATGATGATGGTTAAATATATCATAATACAGGCCTATCAAGGCAGATTAGATCCACTATGCAAGCAGGTAAGCCTGCCAGCTAATTTCAGAGTTTTATTACACCAGTGTAATGGGCCTCTTACCTTAAAATGGGAGTAAAGTATTGCTAAACACTTCACAGAGCAACATAAAGAGATGTACAGTAAATGGCAATCGAGATTCATCTGCTTAATTTTGCATGAGCGTTTGTTGCATCGTGCCTTCTTGCAACTGTCACAAATGGGATTTGTCATATACAAGACAGGACTCAGTGCTTACAGGATCTGTACCCGCAGGGGAAAGGATACAATATTCTTAGAAAATCTTTAAGGTCATTTACTGTTCCTTAAAGTAAAGAGTAGTCTGAAGATAAAGCTGCATCGACAATTTCAATATTAGAACTTCTTGACTTGGCATATGCAACTATCTTCTGACAGTGCTCTTTCATTGCTGAAATTGCTCAAATTATGTTGATTTCTTTCTTACTGATATTTAATAAAAAAAAATCACTCAAATTCAACTCATTTACATGTCCCTTTAATCCTCCCTCCACTGCTGATTGTTACAGATAACTTGTCCAGGAGAAGGTAAAAGGACATTTTTAACACCTTCTTTCCCTTCACATAAGAAGCTGCAAAACCTTTTCACTAGGACACAGCAAAGGGATGAGGAATGTCCATCACCAAGGTCTCCTAACAGCACAGCCTGAGGCAGGGTAAGGACCTGCAGTTTCCCAGGGTGAGCTGAGGAGACATTCTGCCTCAAGACAGCACTCTCAGAGCTCAGGCTTGCCTCCTCCAACACACTCTGTGGGCTGGGATTGGCTTCCATTCCATGCCAGTTGTCCTTGGGTGGAGGAAGGGCACACAGCCTATCTCCCTCCTGTCAGGTTGGGGCATCCCAAGGGCAGCACTGAAGGAGGAGACCCAGACTTCAAACCCCAAGTACAGCAGCCTGGTAGTGTCCAGGCACTGCTGGCGGGACAGAAATGGGGAGCAACCTCTGATAACAGCATAGTACTGGGAAACAAGCTGGTCTGGCCTTATATCTGAGCACCACTTGATGGGGGAAACACAATGTCACCTTCTTTGGCCACAGGTGTAAACCACAGAGAGAAATCTGTGGTCCCACCAGAATTAGTTTCTAAATGCAGTTGAGCCAACAACAGTGATGAAATCTACAGAAAGGATGAACATGCTGTGAGTTTCACTGTTTTATTTTTCAAGACAAGGAAGTGTTTCTTCTCAAAGAAAACAAAACATGGACATTGCTTCACACGTAATTGTGCCAGAAAGTTTCCTCTGGCCACGGACGGGGCCTCCAGACCATCACCCTGAAAGGCAGGTTGTTTTATAATGCTGCAGGGATTGAAGACAGCACCAAACAAACACGCACCATGCACAGCTCTGCCTTAAGGTACATTGATGCGTGCCCTCATCTACTGATCTGCTGATGAGGGCACACGTTCAGTAACCCAGAACCATCTCTTACGTCAATGGGGTATCAGAAACCACGGTGTAAATCCCGAGTCCCAGCAGACATCCCTGCCAAGCCGCTTGCCTTGCAGTCTGGGGGTGGGGGGGGGGGAGATGGAGAACACGGAAAAAACAAGCCCTGGCATCGACCGCCTGGGAACACCCGCAAGCCGAGCGGGAGCTCACGGCACCACCGCGCCGCTGTGGAAGCGCAGAGCCCAGACTGGCACCCGCATCCCCGGGGGGCTCCGGCACCGCGGGCACCGCGGGCACGGCGGCACCACCGCGACCACCCCCTCCTCCCTCCCTCCCTCCCTCCCCCGGAGCAGCGAACCCACCGCACGGGCGGCCGCGGCCTCGGCCCCCGCAGAACCCGCGCCCCCCGAACCTACCGCGGGCCGGGCCCCCGCGCTGCCCTCGGTGCGGCTGCCCCCGGAGCAGGGCCGGGGCCGGCGAGCTCCGAGCCGGCAGCTGCGGGAAGTGACGGCGGCCAGAGGGGCGGGACGGGGCGGGACGGGGCCGGCCGAGCTCGGAACGGCCTCCCAGGAACACACGCTCAGCGGCGTTGCGGGCTGCAGCGCCGTCGGAAAGTTGCTCCGAGTAATCTGCGGTGCTCGGTTGCGGTACTGCACGGGGTCGTTTTATTTGCTTGCTTATTCATTTATTTATTTATTCATTTCGGAGCCTGGTTTTCGCGGCAGGAATTACAATTAGCCTGATTTGCATATATAAACATCTTCAGCCTATTCACGCCGCTCGCAGCCGAAGTGAGTAATAATTTCCCCTCGAGCCACCCAAAGGCCTCACCCGTACAGCCGGGCCACCCTGTTTCAAAAGCATGTGGAGTTTATGTTGGTTTTTTTCCCTTTTTTGTTGGAACAGGAAAGTGCTGAGAAGTCACTACAAGCTGAAACCATCGCCCAGACTTTACAGCAGCCATCAGCCAACGCATACGGGAATCCATCAGTGAAATGCATTCATTGTCGCTAATTTTTGTTAGATCTTAAAGCATACCATTTATCAGATTCATAAAACCATAGGATCACAGAAGATTTGGGTTGGACTTCCACTAGACCAGGTCACTCCAAGCCCCATCCAGCCTGGCCTTGAACACTTCCAGGGATGGGGCATCCACAGCTTCTCTGGGCAACCTGTGCCACTGTCTCACCACTCTCAGTAAAGAATTTTTTTTTTCTAATATCTAATCTAAACATCCCTTCTCTCCGTTTTAAGCCTGTACCGCTTGTCCTACCACTCCAAGCCCTGGTAAAATGTCCCTCTCCAGATCTCTTGTAGCCTCCCTTTAGAACATCACTACAGGAAGAGAATTCACTCTCACCGTAATCACACCTGGCTCCAGAACTTGCTTATGCCATCTCTCTTGATGAAAGGATAAATATCCCTTGAAAACAGAGCGATTAACCAAGATGCCTTGATGATTAATCACTCAGGTTATCCCTCTCCCTCCTTCCTGTCACCACCTCAATACCATCCTCACTTGTTGCGTCTTGTTGCCTCTCACCAAGGTGCCCCAGCCCCGAAAACCCAAACCAGCTGGGAAGTTGTGTAGATGTTACAGATTTCTCTTCCATTTCCAATTTTGAGGGCCATCCACTTGGCACATCCACTCTTAACACCACCAGACTCACGTACAGCGACTCGATCCCAGTGGCAGCTCAGACTGTACAGAAAACTGGCGATCCAACTGGGAGAAGGGTCAGGGCTGGGTCAGACCCGCTCTGATGTGCGCGGTGTGACCGCGGGCACGGGGGGTGTTTATGACTTTATGGCAATAAACGGGGGCAGCGCGGGGCAGGATGATCCCGCGGGTCCCCTCGGTCCCCTCCGCACCCACCGCCGAGACCGCCCGGGGCCAGCGGCACCTCCGGCCCCGCGGGCTCCGCGCCCGCCTCCCCCCGCCGCGGTTCCCGTTCCGGCGGGCGGTGCCTTCCCCATCCGGGGTCAGCCCCGCTCCCTTCCTGTTATTCCCGTGCGGGAGGAGGCGGCTCTTGGGGAGCGGCTGCCGGCGCCGCTGCCTCCCGCGCCCGGGGCACAGGCACGGCCCGAGGGGAGCGGGGCGGCCGGAGCGGCGGCGAGCGCTGCGGGCGCTGCCCGGCGGGGCAGCGGCGCCGGGTCGGGGCGGCGAGGCCGCGGCTGTGAGGTGAGCGAGTGAGCGATGGAGTGAGTGTGTGAGTGAGTGAGTGAGGCGGGGTCGGTGCGGGGCCGAGGGGCTCCGGCAGCCGCGGGGGCATCGCGACCCGCGGGGCCCGGGGCGCGGCGCTCAGCCCGGAGAGCTCCTCCGGCACATCCCGGGCTCCGGGTGCTCCCAGGGACGCGACCTGGGAGAGGAGGCATAGCGGGTTGTTGTTGTCGTTTTTCCAGTGTGGGTCCCTCCACCCTTGAAACGGAGCTGTTTTCTGTCCGTGTGTTCCGGCATCTCTTGCGATGGGCGCTGTGTGGGCTCACGGTGGATAATGGGAGCAGAGCCTCTCCCGATGGGTGTGTGTGTGGAATTCTGGCGTACAGCGTCCTGCTCCCAGATGCACTGGGCTGACAGAGCCAGTGTCTCATCTGTGCTGCCTGTAAAACCTTATTTCGTGCACTCCCGAAATCTGCTTTTGCTGATGTTATGTATAAAACTGCTGCTTCTTACCAGTACTTGTGTGTTTTCTAGAACCGAGTATTAGCAAAACTTTGGCCAGACTAGTGCAAACTGCCTGGTTGTTTTTCTTTTCTTCTTTCTTGGCTGTTTTCAGTATTCCTGAAGTTATTAAGGAATCAGGCCAATTACTTCTGTTGCTGTTATGGGTATGTCTCTGATTTTTTTTTTTTTTGGTCTCTAATTCTTTTGATTGAACAGAGGTTACTTTGTAAACACTGCCCATGCAGAATAAGCAGGAGGAAAGTATATGTTTAAAAGTAAATAGAAGGGACTGTGGAGCTTTTCTTGATTTAATTCTGCAGCAAACTTGTAAATAAGTGCTAAACTGGATTCTGAATCTGGATTTTGTAGAACTTAATAGATGGAAGCTATTCTGTTCTACTAGTTATTTGTGCCCTCACATCCCTGCTTTGAGCTATAGCAGGCATTCAAATTTATGACACTGGATAAAGTTAGGATCTTTCCCATCATGATCTGAATCATTCATTAGCCTCTCCCACCTCACAGTTAATTTATAGAGATGTTCTCATACTTGTTGCTTCTATGCTGTATTTCTGTGATGCAATGTAATAATCAAAGTCCAGTTCTTCAGTGTAAACTGGCTTTTTTACTTCCTAGTAATATTCCAGCACTCAGGGTGATGGGATTTAATGGTTTGTCTGCTATGAGGAACTGACTGGATAAGCTGTTCTAAAATAAAGCCCCATGTGAACCTAAAGCTTCCCAGTAAATAGCTTTATTCTCAAACAATAGCATTGGCAAACTTTTTCAGATTGATATTTGGAAGCATACTTTAGCCAGTGTAGACAAACCACACATCAGCCAAGCTCATAGTGTTCACAGAGGAATTTATGAAACCACACAATTCCTTATGGGTTCCATGAAATATTTGGCTTTTTCATTAAGGCAATAAATGTGGCAGCTTCAGAGCTGCAGTTGTAACTTGACTGTTGCAGATGCCCTGCACTTCCTTAGGTGTTAACTTGGTGGCATTCTTAGCAACCTGGAGACAGTTTCGTGTTTTTCCAGAGCAGGCAAACAAATCAGCCTACAAATCCATGCCAAAGTGTTTTAATTTTTTGGCTGCTTCAAACTCTCATTCTGAGTTAATGGCAAGTTTGTTCTATATTTGTTGTAGTTTACTGCACGAGCGATGGCACTGAGATGGGTTTTTTGGGTTTTGTTTCCTTTTTTTTGTGTGTGTGTGTGGTTTTTCTGGAGTATTCTTTGGGAAAGGTGGTGTAGCTGAGCTGTTTACAAAGCAATTGTGCTTTATTGGAAGTCATAAAGTAGCTCAATACTTAGTTAACTGTTTCTCTGATAATCAGGCCATTCCTGCTTTCTGGGGGCAAACGGGGGATAGTTTTTCCTGGATAACTCACTTTTTAAAAGTTGCCGAAAGCTTTACAATATGAATTTTTGCAACCAGCAAGGCTTTAATGCTGTACCATCACAAGACAAAATATATCACAAGAGGTTTCCAGTTACTGGAAGAAAATAACACCTTTAAAAGGTGTTATCACATAAGGAATGGACTTCCTGATCACAGTTGTTCCCTGGATTGTAGTGTGGGGTGTGTTTTTTAATGCCTTGCTCACGTGTAACTCAGATTTGAACAGCCTTGATGATCATCGTAGTTTCAACTCAGAAAGAAATTAAAGTTACCTATAGATTACCAGACAACAAGCCTAAGGCTGACATTCAGCCTGCAAAAAACTGCTTTTGCACATAAAAAGTCAACTCATTATGTAGTTTTTGAGACTTCTGGTGCAGATTCTCTGGGTACCAGGAATACTCTGAACATCCTGCAAATATCAGTCACTTCCAGATAGAAAACTGTTCACATTGCTTTTCTCTGCCTGTTCTAGGAGAAAGGAAATTGGGATGATGATACATTAATTCCAAATCATGCAAGAAATACTAGCATCTCTAGACTGGTATCATGTAGGTTTGCTTTGCCTAGTTAAGTACATTAATAAAGGTTAACAAATGTTATAGTTAATAGGACATTTGAGGAATGCTGTATTAAAGTCAGAGGACATTAAGTTTTGGGGTTTTTTTACTTTTATACTCATGCAGAAACTGATTTTTTTATATTTATAACTGGACAAGATTAGTACTGCAAAACTAGTCTTTCCAGTTTAGTCTTAAAATGCCTTTATAAAACTAAGTCTTGTCTTATTACTTACTGGTTTGTAATTACTAAAAAATGTGTGAGATCTAGTAAATCCTGCCTGTTGAGGAAAATTGGGCTATATGTGCATTTTTTGTGTGTGTGTGATGGAATTGGAGGGGGAGCAGGAGGGAAAGAATAAGAGTTTGTACTTTGGCCAACTGAAGAACAGACTGGCTTCTAGTGTTAGCTAAGGTTTGGGGCTTTTGCAGCTTTTTATGCATTACATTCCATGCTTGTGGGAGTTTTGGATCATCCTTTTAAAAAGGCAGACATCCAGCTGCTCCAAGTGGATGATGCCTGTCTGAAATTGTAACTATGACTGGAAGAGGCCACAAAAATATTTATGCTAAAACTAGATGGGAATTTTCTTTTTCTCTTTTAAGTTAAATGTGTCATAGCAAAGAATTCTGTTACAAATGTATCTTTGTAGTATCCTAATCCAAATGGGAGAGAGAAAATAGATTTGTTTCTCTCTGTATTTAATTGGACAGCAAATGTATGTGAATTGTTTTGAGTGCACGGTTGGTCATGATAACCTCCAGAGGTTCCTCCCAACTGAATTTGTTCTACAGATCTATTTCTGAATGGTTAATGAAGTGTTAAATGAACCAGAAATAATACTCTGTGTATTAACTGGTGGGGTTTTTTGTCTCCTTGCAGTACTGGTATAGTATTAACTTTAACAAAACCAAAACAAACAAAAAACCCAACACAAACCCAAGCCCAGCGGGGAGGGGAGGAGTAGAGGTAATTAAACTGTTTTAAAAAAAGGAAAATAAGGCATTTTTATAAACCCTGCATGTTAACTCGTAGTCAAATGGAAATGCAACAGGCTGAGTACACTTTATGTAATTCTGGATCTGACTTCTCTGTCTAAGCAATACTTAATGGTTTTGCAGCACATGCATTCTTTTATATAGCATGTATTTACACTTGAATTCTAGAAAAGTATTTTCCTAGTTAATTCTGGCCACAGATTTTGTGAAAGGCAGTCTTAAGAAGCCCATGTGTTTCAAACAGGAAATGTGAGTAGACATCATCACTTGTTCTCTATTAAGAGTGTTCTTACAGCCACCAAAGCAGGGAATAAAAGCACTTGGTCAATTATGCCTGCTGAGGAAACTCCCTGGGAATGTTTATAGTCTGTCTTTGAAAAACTATCTGAGCTCCAGAAACGTAAAAATTAAATTGTAAGGGTCCAGCCTACCTTTGTGACATTGAAGGGGAGAAGCGATGGAGCACTGGTGAAGCTCTTGTCCCTCTGGGATGTTGCTGACTTGCAGCAGCAGAAGTGACTTCTTCAGTCTAGTTTAAGTACAAACAGTTGGGTCAAACATAGAACTTAAGGTTCTGGTTTCATGCCCCGTTGCATTTTACTAGTAGAGGGTTAGATAAACCTCAGACTGGTTCTTTTTTGTTGTTTGGGTTTTTGGTTTACCTGTTAACACATTTCCTTAAATTATCTTACCTTCATGGATTTTTATGTAGAAAAACTTTGGCACTTTTGCCTGCAGCTTCTGATTAGGGAAACACTTGCAAATGTAGTTTTTGAGGGTTGTGAACCACAGAGCATATTTGTCAAACACAGGAGACTTACTGAATTGACTAAGACTGACTATGAATTCCCTGAAATTTCGAGACAGCTGAGTCATATTATTGACTGTATATTATGACCCTCTTCTAAGGCAAAGAAATGTAGAGATACATCCCTTGGGTTATTTTCTCTCAAATGGAAAAGAAAGAAAACTGGAAGATTGTCTCCTAGATTATACAACATGTCAAAAAACTTATCTGTCATTAAGACTTAACTGGATTTGTTTTTTTCCATACTCGTTAGTCAGTCTTCTGCCAATACTTAAGTAGCAGCTAATGGTGATGAATGACTCTTGCCTAATATGTACCAAGACTGTTCCTGATTTTTAACTCTTGCTCATAACTTGTGTCATGCTCCTTCCAGAAACATGGATTTTCTGTTGAGATTACATTTGTTGTCCTAGAAAAGTGCAGAGGACACTAAGTTGAG